GCCCAGTGGACAACTGCCAACTGGACAACTGCCTCCCTAGACAACTGCCCACTAGACAATTGCCCACTGGACAACTGCCTCCCTAGACAACTGCCCACTGGACAACTGCCCACTGGACAACTGCTTCCCTAGACAACTGCAGACTGGACAACTGCTTCCCAAGACAACTGCCTCCCTAGACAACTGCCTCCCTAGACAACTGCCCAGTGGACAACTGCCAACTGGACAACTGCCTCCCTAGACAACTGCCCACTAGACAACTGCCCACTGGACAACTGCCTCCCTAGACAACTGCCCACTGGACAACTGCCCACTGGACAACTGCTTCCCTAGACAACTGCAGACTGGACAACTGCTTCCCAAGACAACTGCCTCCCTAGACAAACGCCCCTAAGACCCCCCCTTCCCCCCGGACAAATACATTCAAAATATGAGATAAATTAAATTACAATGTCATCTTTCCTGATAGTTTTATTAAAAACACAGGGCACATAAATTAAATTAAAATATGTCATCTTTCTTGATTTGTATGGCAGTTGTCTAGGGGTAGTTTTCCTAGAATATAAGTGATATTGACATATTCCTTAACATCTGCTAATTAAGTGTAATAAATTAAATAACGATATATACAACTCTGTTTATGCAAATCACATCGTAGATATACACATGGTAGAAGCGAATGGTTGCATCTGTGTGTCTCTGTGATTAATCGTCACAATCATGGAGACAAATCCCAAGATATCTTTAGATGTAGTTCATAATTCTTTAATATTACCTTGTTTCTCCATCCACTGGTTCTCCTTTGCAGTGATTAATAACATGCATCTGTGGAATATCTGGTGCATACATGGATACCTTGGCACTTCCACGACTCAGGTGCACCAACACACTAACCCAGTAGACAAAACAGAGAAAATAATGAATACCATTTTTTCAAAATATCAAGCTTTAATTGTGACTCATCTAGTTATCATTGAGTAATATATCCACTGTTATTCTTGTTTTGTACTTTGGGAAAAAATACTGACAATTTATAATTAAAGCAATGCAGATGTCACAGAGTCATCACATGCCTAAATTAAATTTGTGTTTGAACGTATTCTTTGATACGTACCATATAAGGCTCATATCAAACTAGTTTAGAAAGGGATTACAGCAGTTGTGTTCATGTTAGATGGGACCCACTTGACTCATTCTGAAATCACACACTCAATAGTCTACCTGTTATTTGACCCAAATATTGCATTATGCATATGATGATAATAATAATAACAATGATGATTATTTTATTGAAATCATATCCATTTGCTGTTATGGTATTTTTTCAGGTTGATATAGCATTGCAATATGAAACCAATTGCAGCAGCACATAAATATGCATTGCAATAATGTTCTGTATTCATTACTTATCATTCCCTTCCCGCCATCGTCATGTTATATTACTATGAATCAGTACATGTTCTCTTAAATTCACTGCCTAGGGAATGACGAGATCTTAACATGATTGCCACTATAGAGTGACTGTGACTTATCTAGATTGGTTGATAAATATAGCATGCTGCTAATTTGAATATGCTAATTTTTCACCAATCCTACTGACAACTATGTTGATTGGTTGATAAAG